GGCCGAGGGCGGGCCCCGCGGCGGGGCAAAGGCACTGACTGCTGCGGCCCCGCCGTCATAGTTATCTCCCTCTAGCAGCTGCCGGGTGCGGGCGGCCAGGAAGGCCGAGTTGAGCGGCAGGATGGGCACGTGGATAAAATCCATCACCGTAGTGGCCAGCGGGGAGCGCCCGGGCGCCGCTGGCGCATCGTGCTCCGCCAGGGCGACCCTGGGCGCCGTGAAGCGGGAATCTTCCTTGGGGACCAGGGCGACGCCTCCTGCGGCTGACCCTGGAGCAGCGGTCGCGGCTCCTCCTCCGGCCGCTGGACCTCCTGCAGGCCGGGGTTTGCCCTTCAGAGGCGGACCCACGGAGCCCTCGGACTCGGAGCCATCCTCCTCCTCCACCTCCACCACAGGGGGCTGCGGAGAGGGCTTCACTGCGGCCCCGGGCCAGTGATGGCTCCCGGTCGTCGGGGGCAGCAGCTGCCGGGACGGTGCCAGGCCCCTGGGCAGCACTTTCTGGGCAGCTGCCGTCCCGGAGCTGTCACCAGCCTTGCCTTCTGGTCGGCTCATGAGAGAGGGCAATACCCCCTGAGTGACAGGGGCAGCCCGGGCGTCTTGGGGAAGCTCGGGGCTAAAGAGGCACCAAGGGCTGGTGGCCTCGCAGACGGGCGGGCTGGCGTGGCTCTGCCCAGGACCCGAGGGCGCCAGTAGCGTGTCCAAGACGCTCTCCAGCAGTCCGCTGTCCTTTTCTGGGGGTCTAGAGGTGCCACCTCCAGCACCCTCTGTGGCTTCAACTCTGGAATACGCCCCCTCCACGTCTGACAGCGACTGCTGGTCCTGAGTCTTCCCGTCTGGGTCCTGACCCTGGCAGGGCCGAGGGAAGAGCAGCCCGTCCAGGGAGAGGGGTATGACCGAGGTTGCAGGCGACGCGTCCGAGGTCTCACTCGCCTGAAAGGGGCCTGTGTCCCGGCGTCCCAGCAGAGGGGATCCGACCTGGGTGGGGGAGGCCGCTCTGCCCGCCACGTGGGGAGCCCGGGGATCCTTTGCCTTCCGCTCAGTCATGACGACCTGGACTCCCCTTTTCTCCTCCCTTGTCTCTGGGGAGGAGGGATAGGGGAAGGACGAGGCGGTGTCAGGAATACAAGAGCAGCGCGGGGAGGAAATAGGTGTTGAATTTGGCTGGACCCGACGGTGGAGAGGGGGTGAAATCTCCACCTCCTGGGTCGGAAGGGGGCGGCACCGATCAGCTACTGCCCTTGCCCTCGGTCCGGTAGGCAGGGGAGGGGTGGCAGTTGCTCCGTCCTTGAGGCAGGTGGGGAGAGCAGGCGAAGGCAGTTGTAGGGATCGCGCTTCCTAACTGGGAGAGTTCTCCAAGAGAGTTCCCCGACTTCAGTCTGCAGACAGGAGACGCAGAGTACTCACAAGTCGGCACTCGAGTGGCGGCGGCTTCGAAAACGATGCAAAGCGGCTCTCTCTCTACACTGTTTCTCCCGCTTCAGTGCCGTGTTGCTTCCAATCCCCGACTGCATTCCACTTCCCTTCTCACTAAAACCCTGGGGCTACTTTGGCCTCTCAGCAGAGCCCATCCTCAGGAGCAGCCTTGTTTCTGCCGGCTCCCTATAGCTGGCGACAGCCATCTCTGCAGCTCTCACATTTCTCAGCAGTCCGGGGGGACGAAACGCCTATAGTTGCAGATTCCACTCAAATGCCAAGGGAAACTAGTTCTCACTGAGAATGCTGCTCACACACCAGACCCTCGCTCACTCAAATATTACTAGGCTTAACTGGAGTAGTGACAGCCAGTAGACTAGCCCCACCGCTTTCTAACAACGCCTCCTCCCTATCTGGAGGCCCCGCCCAAAGTCCCTCCCTGCCCCAATTATGGACCAGATCTGAAATTGTGGAGTTGGTATTTCCAGCCTCTAGTCTGAATAACAGGTACTGTGGGATGGAACTTCGTAAACATATTAGATTTTGTACGACCAATTAAGAATTATGCCCAATCTAACTGGAAAAGCGAATGGATTCTATCAGAAGCTGAATTCTCAGGATTTCAGTTTTGTAAAGATTTTACATAGAGGAAAATATTTGGCTATGTGTATTACTTTTTAGAATAAACGTATCAAGGATGATCCTAAATAACATGAAAGAGATTTTCTCTCTTATGACTTCCATAAAAGTGAGTATTTTCAAATTTCTCTTGCTACAACCAACATGTCCTGCTCCTCGTGAACAGTCCTCAATGTGGCAGAGAAATTTGGGAGTGGGAGATAGTTGATAACACTTACCTACGTGTACAGGAAGTTTGGATGTTGTGTGTCACACTTTGATTTGTCCTAAGGAATGCATTCCAACTTTTAACAAATAGCACTTTAAGGAAAGTTTTCTTTAGCTCCAGCTTATATCCTGTGCTACATCATAAATTCCTCAATAGAGATGTTAAATTGTATTTTTCTCCCCTCAGCATTCTTATTCTTTAAAATAATCTTTGAGTTTTTTAAGCAGATCACTCACCTCTTGCCTCCTGAAGAGATGGTAGAGAGAGGGGGGAGTAGTGCAATATATTTGAGATGCAGAGTTATAAGCTAACGATCTCTGTGCTGAACCCAAGACCGTTGGGTATCCTGACATCATCTTAAATATACCATGTTCAAAAGTGAATTAATCATTTGGAAAATTCCTCGAAGTTCTATCTGTGCTGATGCCCCACAGATTCTCTCAGCCAGGTTTAGAGAATACACTGGAAGACTCCAAGACTCCAGGATGAGCAGAGCTACTAGAGGCAAGGATCCTGGATCCCTGAATCACCTGGGGAGGGTCTACGTGAGTGAGAAATAAATTTTATCATGTTAGGCCATTGGATTTTGGAATTCATTTTTCCAACCATTAGCTTACTCTGACCGACTAATTTTAAATATAAAGGAGTTAGGCGGATAGAGGAGGGGTGAAGAGAACTCCTGGAAGCAGATATAGTATGTTCACAGGACATCAAATAGGAAGACATAATATGGGGACTGCAAGGAGGCCATTATGGATAGAGCATAGAGTAAATGTGGGAATGGAAGAGGATAAAGCTAGAGAGATGAACTAATTTATTATTATTAATACTGTTATTGTTGCTTTGGGGCGTTCCTTTTTCCAATCTATTTTAAACCACTTAACGTGCTTTACTGGATATAACTCATATACCATAGAGTTCACCTGTTTTAAAGTTACAATTCAATGGTTTTTAGCATATGCACAGTTGTATAACTATCACCACTATTAATTTTAGAACATTTACATCACCCCAAAAAGAAACCCCACACCCATTAATAGTCACTCCTCATTTTCCCTTAAAACCTTTCAACAGCCTCTGAGTCTACTTTCCTTCTCTCTGCATTTGCCCATTCGGGACATTTCATATAAATAGAATCATACCATATGTGTTTTTTTTTGTTTTTTTGTTTTTTTGTTTTTGCGGTACGCGGGCTTCTCACCGCTGTGGCCTCTCCGGTTGCGGAACACAGGCTCCGGACGCTCAGGCTCAGTGGCCATGGCTCACGGGCCCAGCCGCCCTGCGGCACGCGGGATCTTCCCGGACCGGGGCACGAACCCATGCCCCCTGCCTCGGCAGGCGGACCCTCAACCACTGCTCCACCAGGGAAGCCCCCATATGTGTTCTTTTTTGCTGGCTTCTTTCACTTAGCATAATGTTTTCAAGGTGCAGCCACATGGTAGCATGTATCAGTACTTCACTCCTTTTTATTGCTAAATAATATTTTATTGTATGGATGTATTACTATGTTTGATTATCCATTTAGCAGTTGTTGGACATTTGGGCTGTTTCTTCTTGTAGGCTGTTATGAATAATGTTGCTATTAACATTCATGTACAAGTTTTTGTGTGAACATATATTTTCATTTCTCTGGCATATATACCTAGGATTAGAACTGCTGGGTCATATGGTAACTCTAGGTTTAACCTTTTGAGGAACTGCAGACTGTTTTCCAAAGTGACTGGATATATTACATTTACACCTGCAGTGTAGGAAGGTTCCAATTTCTCCACATCCTCAGAAACACCTGTTATTGTCTTTTTATTATAGCCCTCATAGTGTGTGTGAGTGAAGTAGTATTTCACTTTGGTTTTGATTTACACTTCCCTGATGATTAGTGCCATAGAATCTGTAGATTTTGTAGAATCTGGATAGCACTGCCAGGTAGTCTTCTACGACTTTTACATGTGTTAACTTATTTAATCCTTCAACAGTCCCATGAAGTAAGCACTGTTATCTGCATTTCATAGTTGAGAATACTGAAGCTCAAAGTTTCCCATTATTAAGTTAATAAGCAGCATAGCCATATTTGATCCCAGGCAATCAAATGCCTCAAATATCAGACTTCTTAGGAGTGTGATTTTTTTTTGTTTGTTTGTTTTGTTTTGTTTTGGTACGCGGGCCTCTCACCGTTGTGGCTCTGCCGTTGCGGAGCACAGGCTCCGGACGCGCAGGCTCAGCGGCCATGACTCACGGGCCCAGCCGC